TATCACATCTAGAAGACATTTTTTTTTTATGTGTGGGTAGGACAATATACTTTAGACAACCGGTCGCTAGCACTGACAGAAAGAGAATGTGTGAGAAATTGCAGATGCGTTGCCTACCCTTAATTGACGGAGGAGGAGACGCACATAAAGAGGACATTTCCCCTTTCTATGCGTCTCCTCCGCCGTCAAATCCATTTTTCCTCCCCATTCTTTCCTCTTAAGAAAAAGGGCGAAAAGGGAAAGGGACTAAAATTAGGCCTGCGGCACCACACTCATCAGACGAAACGCGGAATTGCTTCCACTTCACGCCTGTTTTATCATCATCATCATCGAGATCCGTTCACTAGTTTATTCTACAAACTCTAAGAAACATCCGTCCGTCTAAACTTTCGAATTTACAATATTAGTAAGAAATAAAATAATAAAATCTTTTTTACCTTCATATCAATCTTCTGTCCTTCCAAAGCTGAGAAGAATTCATCAACAGCTCTGTCGAATGTGTCAAGTTGAACGAACGGCTGGTTGTTGTACTGAGCGAACAGCTCCGGGTGGAACTCCTGGTTGGTGAGGAGGAACTTAGCCTCGCCCTCCGCAGCCGGCCGCTCCTCCCTCCTCTGTATTATGTAGCCCTGGTACCATTCAATATATTAAACATTTTTACAGACAAAACAGTAGAAAAACTGACATAAAATCAAAAAAACAGAATGTTATAAACATATCTAAACAATTTAACCTTTATAAGACTGTAATTTTTGTGTCGATTTCAACACTATTTGAAAAAATATACCATCTTACTAATAATACTAATATAATAAATGCAAAAGTTTAGATGGATGCATGTTAGAGTTTGTAGCCTTAACTGCTGAACGAATCTCCATGAAATTTGGTATAGATGTAGAGGATAGTCTGGAAGAACACATATGCTACTTTGTTTTTTTTTAATTCCACGCGAACGAAATCGAGGGCTAAAGCTAGTAAACAATAAAAAATATTCAGTCATACAACTATACTTATTGCAATTGAATTTAAATATGTGTTGCCTTCAATTAAGGTATAAAATTATTACTGTTACTTTAAATTTCCTCCCCTGTCAATATTTCCCCTTTCCATCCCATTCTAATTCAAAAGAGGACAATAACAGAATCGGATGGTGCTCCCAACCAAATATACTTAAGAGGATTTTCAGGTCGTCTTAACCAACAAAGTCTACTTTTTCAACAAATACATAGAAAAAAATATGACAGTATTACCTTGGCAACTGTATTCTTTGCATTATCCAACATTTCCTCTGCCTGTTTGAGTGCTTTTAACAATTTGTGTAAATCTCTGTCCACTAAGAAACCCTGTTCCTTATTTACTTTCATATTGCCTGATAAACCATTCTCTAGGAGTACATGGTCTATTACCGCTGCACCAAACTCTGAAATATAAAAAAAATAATGCCCCATTCGCGTAAAAGACGTAAATTAACCTCCGTTAAAACTCCGCATAAGAAATAACGGAAGCGGAGTTAATATTACTTGCGGAAGTTCCACACTTGCGGATGCGGAAGCGGAATTACAACCCTACTTCAAACATTTTTCTTACCTAGATTAGGGTTGAGTGTTTTCTTCAAATTGTCACCAGGTTTACTTTTAGACAAGATTTCTTTAAGCGTCTCTTCATCGGGCGCTGAGTAATCTGTTTTGGCTCTGTCTAATGGATATTTCTCTTTTACCGCAAACCTAATAAATACAAAATGCTTTTAATAACATTATTTAAGTTTTTTGATATCAATATGATTTACCAGAATGATTTTTTAAGGTAATCTTTATAAATATAGCTGTAGCATTTATTAAGTTACTAGATTTCGCCCGCGACTCCGTCCGTGTGAAACAAAAAAAACCAGAAGTGAATGCCTAATCTAAAAAACAAAAGTCTATGTGTTTTTTCAGACTATCCTCTACATCTAGACCAAATTTCATTGAAATCCGTTCAGCTTTAGGCTACAAACTAACAAACATCCATCCATCTAAACTATTGCATTTACAATATTAATATGATTGTGTTCTTATATACTTTTTCTCATTTATTTTCATTATAAAAATCATTTTATTCCTACATATTACTTACTTTATAATATTATAGATAATTTAATCTGATTCAAATTCTAAATAAACATAGTAATAGAAGCACTATTATGACATAATGATTTTTGAAATTGATGTCAGTTTTAAACTACTAATCTTTCCTCTAACATACCTTATTTTGTCACCTTCCACATGTGGTCGTAGTACATTTAATATTGTCCACTCGTAATCAGCGAGCACAATGTTACCACGGTCATATAACTCCAAAACAACATGGTATGCAGCCTCCCCGCTGCCAAACTGCAGCGCTACAATACGGTCCACACCTAACTGACTAATGCTCTCTAGACGCTTGTTTTTTAAATGTTTTCGTAGCTGGAAATTGAAATATTTTTATAAACTATTTATTCAAAGAACAGCCTAGTGAAAGAGATTTTACTGTGTTATTTTTATCAGAGAATATGTCTTACATAGGCATATAATAAAAGTAAAAATTGACAAGACAGCTTTAGTACTAAGATCTTATGACACTTTGACATGAATGGGGGTGTTAGGTAGTAGGCTATGGGTTCCACAACCCCACGGCTAGTGCATATTTTACCTGGAAACAGGACATGGATTATTCCAACCAGCCTTGCTCACCAAAGAATCCTAGCAACCCTGACAGGTGGTGTTAATGGCCTATCATAAGCAACCCTGACAGGGGATGACAAATTTAGTTTGACTTCCTATAGGTTTATTTTACATATACTTGTAGGACTATATGAGGTCAATATGAAGTTGTAAAAATGATACCAGTCATGACCAATCACAAAACCTATTTTACTTCTGAATCTTATACCGATACCTTACTCCATTTTCATTGATTATGTTTGCTTAGTTAAAAGCCTCAATAACAGTAAATAAACATTATCATCCAATTTACTTTTATACCTTCATAGTGAAACCAGATGGTGCAACATTTTTGGGCCACTCAAACTGTGTTGTGTGAAATCTGTTGCCAGATTCTAACAGCAATACCACTTTTTCCTCTGAACGCTGGAATCTTATGACATAAGTTTTATTATCAATGTCATATACTTGGTTGACTCGCATGCCCACCAATCTGAAATAACAAAAAACAAAATGTTTACATTATAGATTCTTATCTTATTAGAATGAAACACTTACTTACAGTTTATTAACTCAAATATACAAGAGAAATTGAAATGCCATGTAATTTGAAAAATAAAAAGTTTGTTCCAAAGTATTTTTTATAATTAAGAAGTTAGAGTCCGTTTGGCAAGATTTGAAGTAAATAATAGTAATATTAAAGCTTATACCTTTGTAACTCCGCTACCATGCATATTATATCGTAAGTGTTGAACCTTGTCTTCATTTTAACTAATTTCCTTGTTGTACTTTATTCTAAAACATCAGCTGGAAAAGTTTTTCAGTTTATAGCGTTTATTTAATAATAAGTAGTATCAGTTAAGCAATTGCAAAATTATTTGTTACTATTGATTTATAAATTTTAGGCACTTTTACCTTTGCTCTGATAAATCAGACATGCGAAAGAAATAATTAAAAATACAGTTTTGGTTTTATGCAAGTTTCGAGATTTCTTGGATAACAAATTGACAGCTGACGTTTGACATTCACGTAATCTGACAATGACAAAAGCGTGCAGTTCTAAAATTCAGATGATTTTCTGACCCTTCAAGTTATGACTTATCTAATAAGTAGCAATCAAAGTGAACTTGTGAGTGTAAGAAATAATAAAGAAAATTGGAAATTATTTATTTGTCGTGCTATTTTCTTTATATATTTCATAAGCCTAGAAATTGAATGTCAATGTCATGCGTTAACCGAACTGTCAACATTAAAAAGTAAGGTTATGTTTATAGATTTGATATTCACAATAAAAGAAATAAACATTAAAACTAAAGTCCTGTGTTAACCAATACACTTTTGCACGTCTTTAATATAAAATGTTTTAACCAAGTGCTTACAACATTATAATTTATTTACAAAAAAAAAACTACAATGACTGAAGCTGCAGATTCTAAAGAGTTTAAACTAAAACATATGAAATGTGAATTGAACGCATTGAGCAAATCGGATGGATCTGCAATACTGTCTCAAGGTATTCCAAAAGTTAGATTAACCTATTTTTGCATAATTAATTTAAAAAATGACAATATAAATATGATTTTTTATATACTTCCAGGTGAAACAGTAGCATTAGTAAGTGTAAATGGGCCGTTGGATATAAAAGTACAAAACCAGAGCATTGAAAAATGTTATTTAGAAGTTTTGTTTTGTACTAAAGGTGGTAGACCTTCTGTTCCTGACAGGTAATTATTTAAATTACAATATAATTATTTAAGCAGAATATAAATATAGAACATTTTATTTAGGCATGGTACACTGTACACCTCTAACATTATATTCTGAATGGGACCATTCACAGTTCCAAGCTGACAAGATATATGAAAAAGACAATACTCTGTTACATTAAATAATTGAATAGTCGGTAAAAAAGCTTCCCATCAGAGCCCAAAACCTTTTTTTTTTATGATATAAGGTGGCAAACCAGCAAGCGGCCAACTGAATCCACCGAGATGGAAAGCGACTGCTGCCCATAAACATCCGCAATTGCAGATGCGTTGCCTACCCTTAGTTGAAGAGGACATTTTCTCTTCCTATGCGCCTTCTCCACTGTCAAATTCACTTTTCCTTCCGATCCTTTCCTCTTAAGAAAGGGTGGAAAGGGAAAGGGACTAAAATTAGGCCTACAACATAGACCCTTGATAACTTAAAACCTCTATAACTTATTAATAAAATATTTTGTGTTTCCCTTGGATTTTAACTTATTGAGGTTCTACTATATTTAATTTAGTTTATCTTTTGTTTATTTCCAGATATAAGGAACATGTAATCAGACAGACATGTGAGATGGCTATAACTGGTAGTCTGTACCCTAGAACTGGGATCACAGTCACAATACAAGAATTGGAGGATTATGGAGGGGTAATATGATAAATATTAACACATTGAATGCTGCGTTTTAACCTTTTATTGGGCAATTATTTCCTAATTAAAATACAGTAAATTCTCTTTTTCATTTCCTTACTAGTTGTAACTTATGATTTTGTCTGAGTAAAATTAAAAAAAATAGTAACAAATATAGCCTATGCTCCTCAGTGATAACATAGCTTTTTGTTGATGAATGATTTTTTGAAATCAGCCCAATAGTTTTTAAGTTATTAAAAAACATATAAAAACTAATCTTTTTCTTTAATAATATTAGTATTGATTGGTAACTAATTAGTACCAACCTCAGGAAAAAAATACTCCCTCTTTTTAAATATGTTTCTTCAAAATCTACAGAACACATATAAAAACTAAAACTTTACTAAAAATGTGTTTTTCCAGCTTCTCTCCTGTGCAATAAATTGTGCATGTCTCGCATTGCTTAACTCGGGGTTAGCAATGAGGTATGTGTTTGCGGCTGTGTCCTGCGCTGTGGATGAGGTTGGCAATGTTGTACTGGAGCCTTCGTACCAAGAAGTGACAAATGCCAAGGCAATATTAAACTTTGTATTTGATAGTCGGAATAAAAATTTAATTACAAGTGAGTTTTGTAAATGTTTACTTATTTCTTAATTATGTTAAACCGTAAATAAGATTTTGTTTTATAAGTTTGAGCTATAAAGGTCGAGTTTCAAAACTTATATAAGACTAGCTGTTGCTCGCGTCTTTGTCCGTGCGGAAATTAAAATTGAAATCAATATACCACAGTGTTACTCAGTGATAACGTAGCTTTTTATTGTTTAATGATTTTGACAGCGGCCAGTAGTTTTTGATTTATATCAATACATACAAAAATAAAAATCTTACCTCTTTATATTAGTGTAAATTAGAAAAATTGTTATATCATATAAAGTATACAACCAAAAAAACTAATATTGACGTATGATTGATATTACTCACGCCTGTAACTAAGATTGGTTGGCAGAGATTAAGAATTATCAGTGAAAAATAAAAACTTACTTTTACAGCATAGATTAAACAATTTATTTTTTGTGTCATTTGATATTTATGATGTAAATGGTATGTTTTTTTTAAATTATTTGTTATTATGACTTTGACTAGAAATTATGTGACTACCATTCTAGGCTTCTCGGAGGGGATATTCAGCGAGGCGGCGTACGAGGAGGCGCTGGCGATGTCGCGCGCCGCCAGCGACCTCGTGTTCTCCTTCTACAGGGACATTGTCACCAAATATTCTAATGTTATATGATAATAAATATTATTTTATAAACATTTGGTTTTATTAACGTAACTTTGGGATTATTACACAAACTATGTACTACAAATATGCCAAATTCCATTGAGATGCTACAAACTTTAAGAAACATCCATCGACCTATCCATCCATCCAAACTTTCGTATTTATATTAGTAACAATAGAGAAATACTTGACTCCATATTGTTCCAATACAATTGTCACAACTGCGTTATGTTACGTAGTTTTGTAGCTGTTTTTCTAAATAATCATTCGGGTAGAGATACTATTTTCTCTTTATTTTTTCATAAATCAGAAAAGTATGATTAAATTGAACCATCAAAAAAATCAATAAATACAATGCAAGTCGCTAAACACATACTGAATGTATTTAAAAAAATATAGTAAATAATTGAATCGGGTCCTTTGAGACACCGCTACCGAATATACGATGCGACAAAATAACAAAATAGTTTGTCCAAAACTGTGGATGTACCGAGAGCATCAATTTCTAATAGGGTATTTACTTGTTCTGTTACTAGCTTAATGTGAATTATTCTGATGAAATCTTGATAGTATTCTTATTAAAAACTTCGGCATTTGTCTTAATTTGGTTTATATATGATGATGCTTGATTAGAAGAGGACCACGCGCATGAATAGTTCTATAGATAGCTTCGAAAATACATCCGAGCTGCGATCTGTTGCTTGCATTTATGTAACAAGATAAGTATGGTGAAGCATGGAAGCTTCGATGTTTAAACTGCGAGTAACTAAAAAGTTAAAGAATCGACTGCCATAAAAGATAAATTCATCTAATATCTCGGTGTCTCTCGAGCCTTATTCTTGCAGAAAGAAAAAAAACAAGATGGCCGATCGACGCGATCTCATGCAAATGGCGGACGTAAAAGCGCCGCCGCACATTTAAATGTCGCCAACTGATGGCGATCCCTCGACGGTCGTCATTTTTGCTCTATTTACCGGGTTTTGTGCTGCAGTTTAAATGGGGAGCGGAAGATCTTCGATACCTATTTATAGCAGTGATTTAAAACGGACAAGATTGCATTGTTGTTGTTTCATTCAAGATTTACAATCGTCAGTTAACACGAGTATTGTCAACGCACCCTTATAGAAATGGAAAAGGGTAAACGTATGTACTAAAACTGCAACTAAAATGTGGTTGTTAGTTTTCCGTAAACTAAGATGTCTAAGATTTTCCTAGCCCCAATCATCCAACTAATAATATCTTAGACTTCATAAATTCGAGACTCGAACATGTTAAGCTAGTTAAAGTTTATCTTGAACATATTAGGCTTAGTGGTATTAGAAACCACATTGGTTCAAGGGCGCTCGCAGTTGCGCAAAAGGAGAGCGTGGATTCGAATTCCGGCGGACGGCTGTAGGGCTCCGGCCGCTGATTTAGTTCACAGATACGCGAGCGGCCGCTATCTTGTATGCTAATTCGGTCTCGGATCGGGATTTGCGCAACAGTCAGTACGTCGGAATGATCCGATTGTATGGGCTAATTAATTGCATTCTCTTTCAGCTACCGGAAACTGGTTGAAAGATATTTGGTACTTCAATTTATTGGTTTTGGAAGTCTGAGAAGTTAGCTATATGAGGCGGACTCAAATCGATGATATAGACCAGTGAATATATGATTAGTAATCTCGAGCAGCACAGTGTACGCTGAAAAAAAAATCTTCAATGGAAAGAAAACGTACAAGAAATAGGAAGCAGACTGCTTGGAGCTAATGCTCCTAATGGTCCAATGGTTATTTATTCTCACAGTTCAATTCAATTATAAAATGAGTAGAAAGAGTCGATTCAAATATTCAATTTTATGAAATATCTAACATAACTCGTAAATCACGACATTTGACTGCAAATCCTAACAAGAACAACTAACAACAACTTAGTTATCGACAATCAAATAATTACAACCATTTACAGAAAACAAGCCACCATTCACTTGAATTAATTTAATCTAAGCCGATGTTATTGAGACATGTCCGTGGGAATACCAGAGACGCGAGACGGTATGCAAATAGCGCGGGAAACGATGAATGTCAAATTGTCAACAGACCCGCCATATTTTATTCGTTCGATTCGGACGCGTTCGCAAACCGCTTGATTTACGTCGCGTTGAATTAGATGAATGAAGTTTACGTGTTGGATGTTGAATGAGAAATATATGACATCGTCACAAACTTCCGGTGTGTTGAACTGGCTTAAGTTTATTCTGCGGAATAATTTAATACCGTTCAGACAAGAAGACGTTACATTTCCTTATGGTCTACATAACTATAATAATGATAGATGCACCTAAAAGATTTCGAGGAGGAAGCAGGGCAGTATCGCTGGCGTCAATAGACCGTTTGACAGTAACATGACTCGATTAAACTGCATGCGGTGAACGGGCAGTCGAGTTGGTTTATCTATTTTACAATATTACGTCTCCTGGTTGATGCATAGGGTATGAATATATGCCGCGAGACCGGAACCAGTGCTTTCGGCATAAGACGTTACAGTTTAACAAAAAAAGTAGCGAATTTTTCTTCTGATTGTGTAAGAATTTGTTTTGTTGTAACCAAATAATTTATGTTCGTGAAGCTATGCTTCATATATTAACGAGCTAATTATGTTAATGGCAAACCCTGTGTGCACATTTCCGCGAGGTTAGGAGGTACAGGTGAGCCGCGCATTCGTACCGATTAATAACGCCGTGGGTCATTTCTTCGATGCGTATCGCGAACACGGCGGCCATTGTAGCCGATTACTAGTAAAACCATGTAGTAAAATCGGAATAGGAAGAGTTACAAAGATAATCAGAAATATTAGAAGAGAAACATATATTTTTTTCTAATTCTACCTTATTTGGTTATGTTTTGAAGTTGAATTAAGTTTTGTTTCCTTGTTGTCCAGGTAATGTTTCCAATACTTTGGTAACGTCTAGGTGATATTGATATTGAGATTAGTAAATACGAATGTCTAATTCTAGACGTATCATGTCTAGAATTAGACATTCGTATTTACTAATCCTTTACACACATCGATAATAAGAAGGTTTAAAGGTGGCAAGCAATTGCTCGTTTGCCACCTTCTACCATAAAAAATCAAATACAAGTCCATACATCACTTGATTTGTGTCCATTATTAACTACTTTCATGGTGATCCTAGTCAAAAATCGTTCATACAGTAGTTGCGTGCGAGTTGTTAATGCCTTCGCTCGCCACGTAACAACTTTAAACTTTATTTTCAGTGACCCCGTCCACCTGCCATTGTGCGGTAATTAACTCGCTTAGTACAGGAATATAACAAATAAAAATGGCCGCAACTATTATGCGTTTAAAAGCAGTTGCGCTAACGGCCAGTAACTTATTTTTTTATCTCTATTAAACTGGCTATTTTCTCCACATAATCATACTAACATTATAAATGCGAAAGTTTAGATGAATGGGTCGGTGTAATTTGTTAGAGTTTTTACCCTAAACTGCTGAACAGATCTGGATGAAATTTGGCAAAGACGTAGAACATAGTCTAGAAGAACACATAAATATTTTTTTTAATTTCAGTGTTACGGAATCGCGGGCAAAAGCTAGTACATCATAAAGATAATTAGAGAGGTATATGATACGATCGTTACATCATAAGCGTAGTCAAACCTCTTATATAAACATATTAAGCTACTGGCTTTCGATATGAACATAATACGAAGTATACAAGTCGAAAGGCAATTTATTTAATTATGAGGAACATAATTTAAAAACTGGAAGGAGCGTTATATTTAGGCAGAGGCAGAAGTCGATCGGCCACGCCCCACTATTATCTGACCCTTTTTTACTTTAAAATACATCGTCAAGGTTCTAAAACAACAAGGACTTAAATACGATAGTTATTTCATAATTTATTATGACAAATGTTGTAAAACATAAACACACGTGAACATAATATTTTAATAAAAATTGTTCTTCTGTGTTTTGCAAAAAAAGATACGAAATTAATTATTAATCCGATAACATAACATCTGACATGTTTAAGTTTGTCGTTGTAAGAGTGATTTAAATATTTTCCTTTGTAGATTCATAAAAAAATTGAATTTGTCAAGGGCAACTGCTAATCAACTTTGTAGATCCGCTAAATAAGGCAAAGAATGGTGGTTTTCCTTACATTCTAACAAAATAGAGTTTAAATGAAATGAAGAAATTGATAGACAAAAACATAATTTTTAATTAATAGTAATCATATAAATAGGCTGTACATTTGCTAGCCTATTAAAACGGCAATTTAAAATGTCACAGGAACTTTGAACGAAGGTAATTTCCGAACGTTCTCCGTTTTGCCGCGCACGCATCGGCCATTATCGGGTCGCGCGTCACATCCGCTGACATTTGAATTTCGAATCACAAACTGCGGAACGAAAACTGGTGCATGACAAAATTGGTTTGCGGTTACCGATTTGAATTATAAGGCACTTTCGGTTTTATAAGTCGAACTCTGGGTCAAATGTCAAATAGTGAATTATGATTTCATTTTTATTAATTGAAAATAATTATGTGACCAAATTACAGCTGTTTCTGCCTAATACATCTATGAAATATATCAAAAATTTTCCAAAAACAACAAGCGTTTTAATAAGAGTTTTTGTTTTAGTATAAGTTTTTAAGCGGTGGAAATTCTCGAAACTATTTCAAAAATAGAACAAAAACTTACGCATATAATTGAAAGGGTTGCCACAATAAAAAAGCGTATGCTGTTATTAACAAAACGTTTAATTACGGCTCCTAATTATAATACAAAATAACACCTCTAGGTAAAGATGCAGTTTTCTGAGTAATAATAGTTAATTACAGACGGACTTAATCGAAGATCCGATCTTGTGATTGAAAGAGATGGAGCATTTTTACTTTATGTGGGATTTCTGTTTATAAACATAGAATAGGATATTTTTAAGTCGTATATGAGCAAGAATTGTAAAATAGTTGTTATTGTATTGAAGCAATTTTGCCATATTATGAATAATAAATGGCCAAATAAAAGCCATATTTTTGGTGGAGATAAAGTTATATGTAAGTAGTGTTAATTTGATAGATAAGAGAGTGTTTATGATGTTGCCAGTAACGAGCGTCATTCCTTTTTTGGATAACGACGGGAAGATAATGTATTTCGAAACACATTAATTACTCGCCTTAATAAAAATAAATAACACCAATATTGTAAATGTCAGTTTTCGATACTGTTTGTTTTCTGTAAGGAGAGTGGGTTTATGTAATTTTGTGCTCGGATTATACTCGTATTGTACTTGTGAATTCCGGTGGCCACGATACAGGCATTGCCTAGTGTGGCCATCACCAGATTAGCTTAGCTAGAAGTACTTAAGATAACAACTTTTAACTTCCTGTTATGTATAGTTTTAAGGTATTGTCAAAGTTATTTGTTTTGTACAATCTTTTTGGTTTAATAAATATTTTTTCATTTCATTTTTCATTTTCATTCCATCCCAAGTAAAGGCTATAAAGGTGATTGCGGGTTTTTCATATTTTACACAATTGTTGAGATATAAAAATTCAAAATGATTATTTATATCCGGAAGTGCTAATTTTACTTTAAAAAAAAAATAAATTGACATCCGTCAGCAGGACATTTGAATATTTTTTCCGCGTCCGAAAAACAAATGTGTCATTTTCGACACTTTAATTTATTCTACATATCTCAAATTTTACAGAATTTTAACGTATCTTCCGTTATGCAGATAAAAAGAGTTTTATTACGTGTAAATAAGAGTTATTTCTGTTGGAAAAATAACCTCAGCGTCTCATCCAAATGCTGTAATAATGATGGACAGGCTAACAAAAATACTTGCAGTGAAAATATTCCTAGAAAGCAATTTGTGAGCACAGTACCAGCGAGTAATATAAATAATTTTAAAAGGTATATTTTTAAACGGCGACAGTTCTATTTCATTAGTAGACTTCACTGCCTCGTAGCTTAATGTTTTATAATTTATAATCTTAATAAAATACACCTTCTGTTATGGGGATAAGCCCTTGCTATGCTGGCTAAATAAACTACCACCACAAGCCCGTTAGTTTGTGAATGCCTTATTTCGGGCATGTCCTTGAGTTACAAGACATTAACAAACAAAATACGCTGTGTTTGTAAATCAAAACAAAAAATCAGCAAATTTTCTTTTTCCTAACATAAAAGTATTTAGTAACTCTAATGTTAAAGTAACTACGCTATTGCCAATGCCGACGATGGTCGACCGCCCAGGGCGGTGGACAAGGAGGGGGCGTCACAGTTCTGAACATTACACAGTCTAACAGCCTGTTAACCCAGTCTGGTATTAATGGGGGTTTCCTAGAAATCTCGCTCGGGGCGCTAGTAGCCCTAAAACAAATACAGACTGTTTTAGTCTTTTTGTTGAAGTCTTAATCTTGTATCCTCAAGATGCTACTCATCTTCGTCATATTCGACAACGAGCTGCTTAGGCCCGCTGCTACGCGAGGAGTTGAGCTGGCGCGCCGTGGTGTCGGAGGCGGAGCGGATGGTGGGCTACCCCACTTCCTTCCTCAACCTGCGCTGGCTCTTCAACGATGAGATCGCCGTCGCCGCTACACAGCTTAGGAAACTAGTATGTTGAATCGCTTGTATTAAAGTGAACGTCCGGAGGGAGGGTACTAAATATGTAGTATTTATAACGGGAAGCGCCAAAAGTTAGTCTATTTTACTTCAGTTTCTACTAGGTATGAAGAAATAAAAACCTCTGTTGCAGTGCAAAAGTAGCGCCACTTGTCTGTATGTGAAAACTGCATAGAATACCTAATGTTAGCATATTAAAAACTGTATAGGTTGGCACCAATCATCCATTACTGAAGTCGGCTAAGAACATTCTCATCGGTTCCAAGAGTAATCTTCAGTCGGTCGGCTTAATAGTCCTACTGGTATCGAAAGCTGCAGGCTTTAATCCAGCTGAGTTCAGTGAAGAGCTACATACGTCTGGAGTTTTACACTCACAGAGGGCGTTAGCTGAGATCGTGGAGATGAAGAGGACCGGCCACATCATACACAAAACCATGGCCAATCTTCAAGAAAAGGAGAAGCATGGAAAGAAATACGACGATCTGCTCTGCGGGAATAAAATTGTGTTACTCACTGGTTAGAGTTTTACTTTTAAATCTATAGTAATGTTATAAAGAGGAAAGATTTGTATTTTTGTATGTATTCGATTCACGTAAAAATACGAGGCCGATTTTAAAAATTCTTTCACCTTTAGAAAGATAATTTGTCTGTGAGTAAAAGGCTGTTTTTATTACCTTTTAATTTTACCCGGACGAAGTCGCGAGCAACAGCTAGTTGCAGTATAAAAGTTCAATAAGATTCTAGATTTTAGTTAATATTGGTGCTTCCTGTAGGTGATTATCTTCTAGCCAAGTGCTTGGCTCACCTGGGCGGGCTACGCAACAATGCGGTGACGGAGCTCATCTCCACCGGTCTACGGGACCTGGTGGAAGGAGACTTCCTCGGGGAGACTGATGTTGAAGGCAATCATCTGCCAACGAAACCTAAAGGTTTGGTTTACTATTAATATGTTTTTTTTGTTGTACTTTGATGTCTTCCAAAAGAGCACTAATTATCAGCACTAATATTGAAATAACTCAAAAACTACTGATTTCAGAAATGATTTCACCGTTAAAAAGCTACGTTATCAGAGTAACATAGGCTATATTTTTTTATTTTCGCGGGGAAGTCGCGAGCAATATATATATATATATATATATACTAATATTATAAAGAGGAAAGATTTGTATTTGTATATTTATTGATAAAACTCGAAAACTATTGGGCCGATTTTATATTATCTATGTGGAAAGGAATACAAAGCAAATTGTCCCATTTCGCAGTACACTTAATGTAGTAAAACGAAGATATTGTTTTAGATCGCTCTTACTATTATTCTAATCCGTTATTGCTTTATCTGTTACTAATTTAAAATACGAACTGTTTTCATTAATTTTATCTGAATTAGCATAGCTGAAACGAATTATTTTATCGCACAATAAATCGATTTTGTTGCTTTAATTAAATTATCACTTTGAGAGTTATTTTTTATATTTTTTACACCTTAATTAATTTTCTTTACATGCTTCACAACAAAATCATCAACAAGGTAATAAATAAAAAGTAAGGTAAACTTGGTATTTGCAGGTAAAAATGAAATCATAAAACGCTACGATTGGGAGAATGAGAATAACCTGGGTACACTTGGCTCTAACGAGTACCTTGGCCGTGGCATAGACGAATGGAAGCTACGCACGATGCTAACATCTGGCAGTCTCCTTGCCAAGGGTTGCCAAGCGGCAATGAAACTTGGCAAACACAGCGAGGAGATGGAAAGGGAAGCGTACAAGCTTGGTGGACATTTGGCTATGATCTGGCAACTCTATTTAGACGTCAAAGACTTTTATACACATCCGCATTCCTACTCTATGGTCAGCGCGCCCGTGATCATTGCTCTATGGGAATACCCTCAAATTTATGGTCACATATATGAAGCGAAATTAGAAAAGAAGGGAGTAGAAATTAAACAATTACACTATGCGGTGAGAAGTACGAGGGCTATTGAGTATTTGAGGATATTTTTGGACCAGGAATTGGATGCTGTTTTAAGATGCACGGAAATGTTTCCAGTAGAAGACGCTAAACACTCTTTACACAAAATGGCTATCTCTATACATGGAGAAGCGGTAGAATTTCTGGAAAAATAAACATCAATTTTTGCAATGAATATTTAAATTATTAAATGACATTTTGATATATATTTTTTAATTTCTAAATCAGTCAATTGTATCACAGATATATACTACGAGGCTGCTATATTTGTAACAACTTAACAAATATTTAACTCCAGTCAACGTGACATGCTTAATGCGTGTCAAATCAGTTAACACCTATACTATATCCGCCTAACTTTATACTATTTATGAACATAATTTATACAGTTTTAAAGTTCCTATAGTTTAATATTTAAACATAAATTCAATATTTGATATCGTGTAATTTTCGTCCCGATCGTTCTGGTATCAAAAAGGCGGGAAATAACATCAGATGCCCTGTCAATTAAATGGATATGCATCCGGATACGCCAATCATAACTTCGATCTTCATTAACTGTTCGAGAATTTTTTCTCGTATTCCAAATTTAAATTTTACGAATTTTATAATCTGCATTAAAATAATTGTGTACATATCAGCTCTCTACCGAAAATAAAGAGATATTTATTATGAAATTGAAATTTATTGAAAAATAACAGATTAACAATTAACAATAAAAGTTATAACCAATTAAAAGATAAATACAAATAGTGATAAAATGCGATTGATCTAGTGATGCCCACACTAGGCAATGCCTGTATCGTGGGCATCGAAAACAGCAGTAAAAATATTTTTATACAATAATAAATTAAAACCTACGCTTACGGCGTTTCGGTATTATTATGAATTTATGAAAGAAAAATAAATAAGCAATATGACGAATATACACTAAGAAGACCCTGAGTGCAGCTGTTAAGAGTTGTTTTCTACTAAGTCTAGGTGTAAAACCACGGTATACGTATTCGAACATAAAACTTAAATTAAAAAAACTAATAAACCGAAATTTTGAAAATTTTAGAGCAAAGCAATTACGTAAAAAAAACTTAGTAAATTATTTTTAGAAACCTTATGTGTCAAGTAGGATGAAAAAGCTATTTTTTGTATTATAATACTGGTTAGGTCGTCACAATAAAATAATTGATAAATCAACCTTGTAGAAAATAGCATAATTCTAACATAAGCCCAAATACAGCCGGATCTTTTATTAGTCATACATTCCTATTGGCGATTATATTAATAAAAAAACATTTAATAACCTTCGAACTTACGTAGACACGTGCTGTTTATTAATTTTATGACAAACGTCATATTGTATTCCGAAGACTCGTTCAAAAACATTCTTTTCGTTTGCATGTCAAGTTAATGTTGTTTCCCGTTGGGCCGTTCAATCGGCACTATGGGATTTTGCCCATAAGGTCGATTGGTATGTGTGATCAGCCCAATGGGAAAAATTATCCAATAAGACTGATCGGTCCAACGAGAAATCCACAATTCGTTTTGAGTATTTATCAGATGGTCGTAATCTTGAATCTACGAATTAATCGCTAACACGATAAAAACGTTAGATGTATAAATTGTGAATTGATAAAGACACGCCTTTAACCAAGAATAGGCATCTTACTAAAAAAAAAGCGAAAGTTTAGATGGATGAATATTTCTTAGTTTGTAAGTAGAACAGGTAAATCGGTTTTAAGAAATTTTGGTACAGATGGATAGTCTGGAAGAACACATAAGCTATTTTTTCTTGATTCCTAGAAGATGGACTCATGGGTAACAGCTAGTGTCAAATAAAAATACTATTTAATATTAAATTAATTTAATATCAATAAATCAACAATATAGGAACATTTCAAATAATGTAAATTAATAAAAATACATGCATATTTTAAATGGACCAATTTAATTTATTTATAAAAATCAAAAAATGCAATACAAGGGCGGATTTAGCTATGGTGCCAGGGGGGGGGGGTCACATAGTCTATATTTTGTCAAGCCCTTGACCAACCAGCTCAGGGGGGGTGATGACTCTCATGACCCTGGATCCGCCGTTGTCGCAATAAAGTGATAGATGTTAACTACAGTAACAATCAATTTATTTCTTAAAAATAATTTAACAATAATTACGCATTTAATAAAACAAAATACTACAAATTAATATAACAATAGGCAACATTGGTTCATAACATAATTATAAAATATACATACAGTAATATCAAATGTTAAATAACAGTTAGCAATACATTTTACATAAGGACCTAAAAACACAATAACCAACATTAAAAAAATAACATATTGAATATGTACATATGTGGGTGAATGCCATTTCTATACATAACCTATTATTTTGCACCACAAGTAAAAATACCTTTTTTAGTTTTTAAAATCAGAATATCATTTTAGTTTATTCAATGTACTACAATAAGAAATATTTTGTTTAAAAACTAAAAAAAATCTGAAGCGAGTTTGCTCTTGATTTTTTATCTTTTTTAAAAATGTGAGGAAAAACATTTGAATTTCTTTAATATGTAAATTGACGTTTCAATATCCTTGTAAATTTGTGCGTCACAGACCAAGGTCACCCACATTGTTACTAAGAGTATCTTTATATCATTTTAAAGGCATAGATATCTGATGGTATTCAGAAATTGTTAATTTACATATATACATTATTTTAAGTCATTTTGTTTTTTTAAATAAAAAAAAAAAACCAACTATTTACTCACACCCACACACAGTTTTAACAGATATGTTGGAGAATTCACTTTATTATGGGTTTTTAAAATTAATTTTCAATGCAATATGAAAATTAAACTTTTAACAATATTTTTAATCTAATCATTGCTAATATTATAAAAAGGAAAGATTTGTATTTTTGTATGTATTGAAATAACTCAAAAATTACTGGGACAATTTTAAAAATTCTTCGTCATTAGAAAGGTAATTTATCTGTGAGTAACATAGGTGTTTTTCATTATTTTTAAATTGCACGCGGACGAAGTCGCGAGCGACAACTAGTATCAAGTAATCTTAAACTAAATCCTGTAATTTTTTTACACTTCTTTCTTAAACTTTGTACTAATATGTTCACAGACTTACTTAGTTTCTAATATTAACACAATTCTAATGTCCACTTAGGTGTTTGATAAATAAAAAATAAATAATTAATAACAGTTTCTTATGAGCTACATTAAAAAAATATATCTCATAAGAAACTATTATTATTATATTATATTTATTTTGGGTGACACACTAGCAGTTAGTTCCCTGATGTGTGTCACCCAAAACATTGTTACAACTATAAAAATATATTTTTTTATTCATTAAATATCTTTGTGGACATTCTTCCTAACATAAAGGGCTATAACAATGTTTCCATTAATCTTTTTATTGTACTGATTGATTCACAATTACCAAACATATCCGCATACCTAGCTGCTATCTTAGAATTAGTTGACAACAATGTTCTCGTTTGTTCGATCGCATTAGTTTTCAATACACAACCCTTAAGTGCATCATAATCGAGTTCTCTTAAATCATTTTTATATTTCTCTATTTCCTTATAAATATCAGGCGATTCATTTACCGCGAATAATACAGGCGCACTAACTAAAGAGAAGGAATCTTTATTATCTGTATTAAATTTCTGTAAATCACTCGCAGCTTGCCAAACTAAACATAAATGGGAGCCGAGTAGATATGCCCTTTCTTGGTCTTTTTTATTTCTACCAGCTAATAAAACCGCACCCTCACACCCTCTACCGAATAAACTTCCACCACCATACAAAGTTCTTAATGTCCACTCTTTTGTTGGTGATCCTAATACATTTTTTACATCAAACGGCATTGTATTACTATTTATTTCGTAAATATCCAACATACTTAACGGTTTACCGGGTAAAGGTAAGTTTTGAACGTCTCTATCTCCGAAGAACTCACCTTCACTTATATCCCTTAATGCGGTTGATATTAAATATGATAAATCTTGATTTTTTAAACGCGCCAACATTCCATTAGCAGTAACAAGTAAGTAGTCACCGATTAATATTGCTATTTTATTAGTGAATAATTCTGTATCGAAATCTTTATATTTTCCTCTTGGTATGTTTAGAAGTCCTCTGTGTACGGAGTGACCTGTTCGGATCATTTCAGTTAGCTCTGCAAGGTTGCGTTGGCTTTCGTTAACTTTGTTTGCCTGTAAGGGTGACATTGGTGGGTTCACCGCTTTTGATAAAAGTAAGATGACTAAGCCCCATGGTTGTAGGTTGTTATGTTCATTATAAAGGACCGATTTTGCTGTTTTCATTAACGGATGATTACTGTTCACCTAAAAAACATGATAATTTTTTAATATACTACAATATTTTTTTTTATCATAAGGTGACAAATGAGGAAGCGGCCAGTTAAATTAGCATAAAGACTTTTTTAGCATTTTTGTTAATTCTTTTATCAAATAAAAACTTATAATAGAATTCTCAGTTGATTTAAGGTTAAATCTAAATGACATTGAATATAAATGTGTTAAGTATCTTGTTTATATGTTTGTTTGAGATGTTAATGACCTTGTAACTTTATTATGTAATCTGAAACTTACTCCATGAGTATAAAAAGGTTAAATATATTGCATTGATAGAATTTTAAAACTTAACGTTTATTTAGTATTGTAAATTAGACGAGTAAGATTTAAGGTGCTAATGATGTTAAAAACAATTTAATTTTACAAAAATTTAAGTTCAGGAGGTAAAAACTAAATAATCTGATACTGTTTTACAATTAAATAGTACAAGTAAAGTCAGAAATTTAATGTTTTCTTTTACATTCTCGTAAATCCGTGATAATTTCTCCATATAGGTTGTACTTACCACTTTGCGTAAATGCATGGCCATGTTAGCGAATTCGTCACTAAGTAGCCATCTCAGATTCATAAAAGAGGTTGGATATCCAACAATTTTCTCTGCTTCTCTAATTATCTTGCTCCATTGTGTTATTGGAGGTCGAATAAGGTAATCTTCATGAGTTAAATTAGTCATAGTGCTTTCGGTTCGTATTTGGTGAGATAATAGCACTGTTCGGCGTAAGTGCCGTATCATAGAATAAGGCATTTTATTAAATAATAGCAACGTTAATTTTAAATACTATTTACATTCAAAAAACTAAATAAATTGAGTCTAAAACAAATGAAAATAAACGCGCGCGCACAGTGTGAGACGAGTTATGTCACTATTTATTTTGACATTTCCTCGAGCCAGTGGAGCATTTGTGAATAGCGTCACAAACAATTTTCGTTGAACAAGTTTCTTAAAATTTAATTTACATACTCGATTTAGAATCATATTTCCATATTGAAAATTATAATATTTAAATTAGTGCTGATAACTTTTAAACTTTGGATATGTTTGACTTAATTTTAATTGTAAAATTATTTTGATTGGTACGCTGTAATATACTCCGTAAACAGCAAGCCTAAATTGCGTAATTTTTAGAATTCTTGAGGTTGAATTGAATTCATAAAAATTAAATTTATTATTTATGCATTTATTTTAAAGAAAGGAAGGTTAAATGTTGAATATGTATAATTTCATGGTCAATATGTAGTATTAATGAAAATATTTTGAATGCCTGCCAATCATGGGCTCAATATTGCTTGGATTTGTTATGCTTTTCCAATTTTTTTTTATTTACCTTAATTCTCTACATTTTAATATTCAAGAAAACCACTTTGATGCAACTTAGATTCAACTACAAAACATTAAGACGAACATGGGTTCGAATAACAAGAATTGTACAAGGAAAATGTGCAGACCATACCATGTGTGAAAACATAATCGGCTATAAATAAACATAGCCTAGGTCTATCTAAGACTTAAAGAAACGTGTACTGTTGTATCAACCAAATAAGGCGACTTGAGTTAGTCTGAGACAAGGGTAACCTCAAATTATAATGTGTATCCTAAACATAAGTTACTTTTATAATGGTAATCGAGACAAACTGGACGTTTTTTTAATAGTTATATGGTCTTTGGTGTACTGTTCTTGTACCAAAATCCAAGGAAAGAAGCTAGCGGCTAATTAAACGGTTTTATTTATAGTAATACCAATGTATCGATTGATGTTTGCTTTAGTTCACTCAAGCGCAGAAATATAAATTCCTTTACGCTTGATAAGTTTTTCCAATTTCTTTTAATATCCATACAATATCCGCTGCTGGTTCTCCTATGGAGTTTTTAATATTTTTTTTAAATTCGATTTTTAATTTTTAAATTAACACATCTACAAAGGGAATGAAATGAAATGGAATTAGATTTGAAACAATCATTACTCATACGCCATGCTGGCTTTGACTGCAATTAAGTGTTTCGTTTATAGCTAGATTTTATCTGTGCCCCATTTGAACGCAACGTTAATAAATACAAAGTACTGAACGTTAACGCTTCTACGCCGGCCAATCACGTGTGCGCGCGCCATAATTCAAAAATAGAAGGACCGGGAGTAGGGTCACCATTCCCGCGGGTTGTATTTATTGAAGGTTTTATAATTGTAATTACATTATATAGTTTATAGTTAGCAATTTTATTAAGTGTCAAAGATCAATTAACAGTCTTTTTTTTTCTCTACGTAAATACGCAGTAACCAAGTTAATTTGCTTTAAATAAAGTCGTTATTTTGATATTGATTATGTAAACAAAACATATTAATAGAACATAATAAACACAAATTAAATAAATCTTAGAATTAGTAACTTTTAAGTCTAAATTACCCTTGTTTTAGGGATTTTAAACTTCATTGTTTTTGCACAAAAAATGGTAACACTAGTCGGTAGGCCGCGGGCAAAGACGGTGGCTCGTTCGTAGCAATTAAAAATAAAACCGATGTATAATTTGTTGGCGGTTTATGGTGGCTTCGTCCCGCGCCCGCAAAACGACTAAAATGTACATACATTTGCATTTTGATCGGCGCATTTCTGATTGAGTGAGGTCTTTAGGAGTCGGGAGCGGGGATGGTATTTTTTTTTAATTGCGAAAATCTCTGGCCGTATTTTTTCTTTTTAAAAATAAATTAACATCTACGGCCAGTGTTAATAGTTGGTTTGGGGCAGTACCGCGAGCAGCGATTTTTTCACATCGATTCAGAAATAAAAAGTAAAAGCTATACACTAGTAGTTATCAGTTTTAGCAGTACGGAGGGCGGGACGGAACAATTACAACGAGATTGCTTTGTTTATTTCAGAGAAATAATTAACTTAAGAACATTTGTATGTACACCTTTTACGTCTTGGTACAAAAGGGATGTTTTAATCACGTTTCTCTTTGAGATTTTCTAGTTAGTAGTCTAGTATCGTAATGTTTTTTTTTTAATACAGACCTCGTGAAAATGTGCTACAGTTTGTATTCAAATTGTACGTCGTTGTACTAACAAATTGTTAACAATTTTATTGTTTACAAAATTTATGATATAGCGGTTACCGTAAATTAAAATCATCGGCGTGTGAAATTCTAACGTCCATTAAAACATCTTACATAGACATAAACACCTATTCATTTTCATTACTCATTATGGCCGCGGGATCGAGCACCGTAGAAAATTAACCATTCGTTTATGGTCACCAAAAAGGTTGACTTATAAATATGCATAGAACATTTTTGAAAAAGGGAACCTTTAATAAGTGAGGTACGCTTCTCTGTAAATTGCTTCTTTGGTTATTATTCTCCCCATCGCCAATCCTATCCATTTAAAACCAATTATGTTTTATTATGGCCGATCGAAAGAGAAAGCTGATGACTGATGTCGCGTTAGAAAAGGATAGAGTGACGTTGACCACAGACAAGCGGAGTAACCTCGAGCGCCTTTTTTGTTTTTTTTTATTAATGCACACACGGGCACGGGCGCGGGCTGACTTGATGCCTCGTGAATGGAGGCCTAATGGACGCTTGGAAATATAAAATTAAATCGGATATAATGAGTTACATAGGCTATCACGATCGCGCGAGGGGTTCGACGGGTCGCGGAAGGCTTTTGTTCTTGCGGTCGACGAACCTACGTCGTTTTTAGTAATTAAAAGTGTTTTCTTTTTTTTGTTTGTTTCACGATGCGCGCGAAGTTTGAGCTAATGGAACATTAATGTAAACTTTTAATGCTTATTGCTTTAATAGCTTGAGTTAATAGTGTTAGAGGTTATGTCGGTTAATGATCTGCTGGTAAATGCTAATAATAAGTTTACATTTTTATTCTAATTACAAATAGGAGAGCGAAAACTTTTTTCTAAAATCCATAATTTTCGACTCGAAAACAAAAAAGTCCCTACATTTGTATTGACGACCATAAAATCGGACGTGACCAAGAAGCAAAACTTAATCAATTATACGATTCGAAACAAATTATTTTCTATTAAGTAAACTTGTTTAGAAACTGCTACTTGATAGGCAATGATTAAAAATTTGTTTCGGATTACTAGTCTATATAAATCGATTTTAAATCGACGAATCGATTACACTGCATCGAATGTACTTGGATGAATATTCCAGAATATTTTACCCAAATCTATACTATATATATTATAATAAAGCGTAAACACACACTTATTTGTTGCCTAACATGTCAGCTATTACAGCATGTTTTCGAACAACTCTTTTATTAATAAAAATTTCTACACTTACGTCACGCTTTAGGCTATATATTTTCACGCCGTTAAACTTAGGGGTAAACATTTTCAATAAAAACTCTAATGTGGGAAAGAGGCCATAAGTTGCTGCCAACATCAAGGAAGCAAGATTTTGACATTCATTTTGACATTTGCTATTGATAATTTGATAAATGTAAATAATAAAATATATTTTTCATAATTACATGCGGTTGTTTTATAAGTCTATAGATAGCTAATCTGTAATTTAAAGGTGTACACATAGAGTATGGTGATTTTATTATTATCTGTGGCAATTACACCCCAATGTGGCGATGCCACTTTTTAACTAATCATACAAATCACTTTTAAATATATTTATCTTATAAATAAGGAGATGGTTGTCAATTAAAATCCTTTTTAATCGTCATCTGTAGAGGTTATTTTAATAAAATTAGTAATAATTCGTTTTATAAAGGTGCATTTGTATGCAGCTGCGTTTTAACATATCTGTAGTGAAAAAAATAAATAATAATTAACACAAAATGATAACACACCGTTTGGTCGAGGCCCGAAGGTGTGCTTTGGAAATTAAACGAGCAATTATAAGAACAGCCCCGAGGTGTGTTCGTAATAATACGCCATATTGCTTTTCGACAGATTAAAAATAAACTGTTAATTGTAATGTTAGATTTTCGACAGATTATAGCTTTTTATATTGCCATATTTAATGATTTAGACAATCGTTTATTGTTGGCTTCTTACTGTAAAAATGGTCATCATCATCATCACAGCTCACTGTATGTCCCCACCGAGGGGCTCGGAGCCTACCCTAATAAGGGGTGACTAGGCCATAGTCAACCACGTTGCACTACGGGTTGGTTGACTTCACACATATCTTTGAATTTTTTCGCTATGTGCAGGTTGCATCACGATGTTTTCCTTCACCGTAAGAACGTCGGGTAAATTATGTACATATGAAAATTCGAAAAATCGAAAATCACAGTGGTAAGATAAAAAAAGCCTACTAGCTACCCTTCAGTGAAAGTCCTGTCAAAATCGGCCCAGCCGTTTCGGAGATTACCCGGAATAAACACGGCTTGTGGGCAGACGGACAGACAGACGAAAATGCGATTTTCGCTATCAGCAACGCAAATACATCATCTTTCTGAAATCTGGAATTTTTCTTTAGATATAAAAAACAGACACTATAATCTTATTCTATGTAAAGATAACCTCGTGGATGTTAAAAATGCCGCGAAAATCCAAGAGATGGCGCAGCGATTACATAATACTGTTAGAATTAAAAAGTTATTTAAACTGTTAGATTTAAATATTTTTTAAAAGTAAAACAACACGCAGTGTAATATGTAAAGAAGGAAGATATAAAGTTAATATATATAAATGCAGATTCGTCCGTCTGAATGGGGAGCATTTGCCTACAATGTACAATGGCGTGAGATTCGCTTTCATCTCGCCGTCTGCCCGCGCAATACTAAGGAGGCTTCTTTATGGTACTGGATACTATCGGTCTGTCGTCGGCAGGTTAATGCCAGACTGAATGTTTAGATTCGATCAA